TTATAATTGAATTATTTACATAGTATAACCATGACTGAGACAGAGGAATTCAAAGAAGAGTGTCAGCTGCTACCAGGTGCTCATTTTAATGAAATATGCTGTGGCAATGATGACAAATCATGCTGTGATAATTCCAAGTATAGTGTAAATTTGCTTGACTGTGGTTCAACATCTTATGAAGGTATGTACAGGTAGATCTTGGCTTTACATTAGAAAATCATATCTAATTGGCTGTATCCAGGTTGAACATGTAACCATGTAGCCTATCAGGGAACACCTTGTTTTTTAATTTTCTAGTTTCATTGATTATGCATAAATACTGTTATAAATACACGTTTTTTTAGTTAGCATGATGTTTTAGAAAATGTTGCTACTGTAAAATATTTTATTTTCACTTGGAACCTATTTTTACCATTTTCGCTGACGTGATGATTCAGTTAAAACAAATTCCAGTTAATAAACCTAGTACCTATTTTTTACAATTAACTCATCAAAACACAGTGAAAATAAATTCCATACAGAACAACCTAATGTCTTTTCAGTGAGAATTAATTCCAGTTCGTGCTTAGGATAAATTTTCTCTGCTACAAAATTTTGCTATATGTTGTCATAATGACTGACTTTGTGAACATTTCTCACAGCAAAAATTGAAACAGTAGGTAATTGCGAGGAGAGTATAAAATGTATATAGATATATACATGTATAGCATTTTGTTTTTTGTCAACTCTGTAGATCGTTTTGTTCTTGGGCCTGCTGACGATAATACATGTAATCTGATGATCTGTAGTACACAGCTACTAGATCGAGAAGACGTTGATGAGTATACTTTCAAAATAGCTGCATCAAACAAATCAGATTCTCTAGGAAATCCTTCTACAAATTGTGGTAAGTCAGTATTGGTCATAGGTAGTACTCTATTAAAAAAATAAATAAATAACTTTATTAAATTGTCATCATTGGAAATTTGGTGATTTAGGGGTGTGTTCTGTGGTTATGCTCTCTTTTATTCAGTGAGATAATCAATGCTACTCCACAATTCACAAATATGAAAGGGTTTACAACATTTTTGAAAATTTGTTTCATACCAATTGCTGTATACATAATTTCCCTGTGAAAATAGTTAAGCACGAGTTCTGAAATAATTGACAAACAACTCATTGATCTCTCAGAATATCAGATAATTTTTCTGATTCGAGTTAAATTGTTGTTGCTAAAGTAAGGGAGTCGTCACCTGCACGTGCAACAGATGGCCATAGCGTGTCACTGTTTACAAATAAGCATCTAGCCATGAGCCTTTTGGTTTTTAGCGTCTGTTGTTATCGTTGTTTGGGACTCAATTCCCACATGTGCACAGGTGAGACCTCTCGCTTTAACATTTACCCTGCATTTAAAACTCAGAATTTCAACACACTCACATGTGGACAATGCGAGGCTAAAATATCAAGCTACTTTGCTGAAATATACATGCAACTCTTAAGTTACATTATATGTTGATTCACAAGAATGTACTAATAATTATTTTATTTCTTCTAAATTATTTGTTTAGTTGATTTACTAACCAATGAGATGATATTAAAGATCAATATCTCGGATATTAATGACAACAAGCCATACTTCACACAGACCATTTATGTCAAAGGAATTCATGATAACACTAGATATGGATTATCAATATTACAAGTTGAAGTAAGTGACTTAATCAGTGTACAGTATTACTTAATGTGCTTCCAGCGTAGGAAAAAAATCAAAGCACACAAATAACACTGAACACCATTGACAGTGTATATTACTATGTGAGTGTATTGAAGTGAGTGAATCAAAGTAAAGGGGAATGATTGACCTGGAAATAATTCAGGCACAAATACAAATGTATATGGTCTATTGCAGTTAGTAAAATGGAAAAAGATATTTATGAACTTTTCAAATCCAAAAATGATGTGATCATTATGCTTAATTGTGGGTAACAGCAGAAAAGTATCGTATTTGCTCTATTACAAGCGCATCCCAAACTGCAGAATGTGTTGTATACTAAATCATTTGAAATACTACACCTAATAGAGAAAATACTGTATAGCATTATGCCCTCATTAATGTGCAAGATGAAATTAAAAAAAATGAAAACTGAATGTGTTAATATAATTTAATATTGATTTTTAACAGTCATTGAAATAGATAAACCATTTCATGTCTGGCATGCATTCACATATTTTGAATGTCTAAAAATTATTTAGGTGTAAACTCGACTTGATTTTAGGGTTCTGATGACGACATAGGTGAGAATGCCAGACTCTGTTACTCTGCTAGTGAGGAAGCCGATGAGAAGTTCAGTGTTTCTTGTATAGAGGGTGATGTACATACTGTCCAATCGAGTTATACTGACTACGTTGGAAGTAATTGTACTTTTGATGTAACTGCACAAGATACGCCTACTGATACCGAACCCAACCTGTCAACAAATAATGCTGAGGTTATTGTAAGTATATATCGCTAAATA